ACAACGAAGGGTTTTTGTTTCACGGGCAGAGGGGATGCGGCAGAGGAGGTCGGGATCGAGACGAAGGAATCAGTGACCGAGGGGAATTGGAAGGGCAGAGGGGATCGGGATTGGGATCAGGACGGAGGAATCGGCGACCGAGGGTTTGTTTCGCGAGAGAAGGGCGGACGCGGACGGGATCAAGATTGAGGGCTTTCGGGTAATAATCTCGAACGATAAGCGGAAAGCGGGATGCGAGGTGCGGTTTCCTACCGCCATACAGACATCCGAAACAAACACTCGGTGGGCTTTTTGGAAACGCCGACCACAGTAATAAGCTGCCCCAAACGGGCCCTTAGTACGGTGGATGAAAACACATAGCTGCAGTTACCTTCTGGCTTCAACCATATGCACTCTGCATAATGGGTAGGCCTTGCATTCCTGCAAATGTCCCCTAGGAGAAGGATACATTGGGATGTTGCTGAAATTTTTAGTAAAAATAAAAAAAGGAGCTTAAAATCAAAATAAAAATGGGTTTTTGGAATTTAAAATACGACTAAAAATAAAAAAAAATTACAAAATAATATTAATAAACAATCATATGGAGATATTAGTTGCAATAAAAAAATCGAATACAAAATTTTGAATTTATGTGGGACTCAATAGCTCGTTTATGAGCTCGAATGAAACATATAATGAACTCCAAAGCTGGCCTACGGGCATCCTTAAACTGTTAATTCTACTCAAATCCTCCTTAAAACTTAGAATTCTCTAAAACATAAACTCTGAACTGAAAGTGTATTGAAAATGAACTATGGAGAGTTCTTATTTATAGAAATTGAAAAGTTCTCTATGGAGCCCATCAGAATAAAAAGAGTTTTAAAATATTAATTTTTCTAACGTGTTAAATATTCAATAGGCATTAATTTGCCTAGATCATCACTAGATTTGCAACACATATACTAGCAGGCATGAGACAAATTTAAGGCTTAAAGTAAAAACAACCCGCATATACTCTATGACCATTGTGTTAAATGTTCGATCATATGGTCTGAGAATGTTGTATGTGTTTACTTAAAATCAATTCAAAATAACATGCACGTGTTCCAACTATTGTATAAAATATCAAAATATTTAGTTCGAGAATGCTGCGCGAGCTAGCTTAAAATTAATTCTTAATAATCCTCATGTGCTCTGATCAATGCACTAAACACGTCAACAAGTATTATGAGAATGTCGTGCGGGCACAATTTAATTTTAAAAATAAACTTATTTTATCTTGAAAAATGTGTAAAATAATTTAAAATTCACAATTTTTTCCTTTTCCTAAAATTTCATCTAATTACTACATTGTGCATGTTTTCAAGCAAATCAATCTGATCCTTCTTTTAGCAAAAATTGCAACTGATATTATTGAGTCTGTCAGGCCCGATCCTCTGTCAGCAAACTAGTAGAGTTGATAAGGCCTGAAATAACAAAATAAAATTATTTGAATCTCCACTGACGAATGTGTTGATAGAAAATCTCAATTGAAGATATTCATTTTAAATAATTAAATTAAAGTTCCTAAATTTAAAAATAAATTTAAATCATTTAAAGATATTTATCACCTAAAAAAAGGAAGATATAGCGAAGAGAGCTTTGAGGATCGGATCTAGACACTATGAATTTTTGATGATGTTATTTGGACTGATTAATGCTCTGACAATTTTTATGGATCAGATGAACAGAATGTCCATTCATTTTTTGTATACTTTTGTGATTTTGTTTATATATAATATCTTAGTATATTTTAGAGATGAATGCGGTCATACAGATCATTTGCATTCTGTTTTGTGAATTTTGAAAGAGAAGACAATATATGTCAATTTTTCTAAATATAAATTTTGGCTTAAAGGTGTGGCTTTTTTTGGGCATATTATCAATAGTGATGACATCTATGGATCATAATATGATCAAGGTGATTGCAGATTAACCAAAACCTACTACTGTTACTGAGGCCCTACCTTTTTCACATAATGTTATGTTATTATCTAGATTAACTCAAAAGATAATGAAGTTTGATTTGAGTGATCGTTGTGAAGAGGCTTTTTCAGAAATTTAAGCCTTTCTTAGATTCCAAAGGTGGTCGAATAGGTGTAGGTCGTTGCACGTCTTGATCCCCATGAGCCTGAGTAATATTAACATCTTTCTGGACCTGATGAGGTGGTTGTGAGGCAGTAGAAGTATTTCCTTCCACCTGTATTATCAGTGATTATCAGTGATAGGTTCTAGAGTAGGCAGGGTCTGAAGAAACTCCCTCCCCCACGATAGGAGGTTCCAAAGACGAGGGAGCTACAATTGGAGATTGAATGGTTGGCATATTGTCTGCTTAATCAGGAGGAGATGGAATCACTGCCTCTAGCGGAGCAGTTTGATTTTTTGGTCTGAGTTGGGGGTGTAGATGGTGACATTTAGAACTGAAGTGTCCGAACAGACGACAGTTCGAACAATACGAAGGAAAATGTTCAATCTTTACCTTCTGCCAATATCCATGATGTTGTGTGCTCAACCAGATTTCCTCAGAAGCGGATGAAGTGATGTCTATTTCAACAAGTACTTTGGTTTCAGAAGGACAGGACAGATTAAAAGTAGGAATGTCCATCTTGAGTGGCGAAGGACGGGACAGATTAAAAGTAGGGATATCCGTCTTGAGTGGCTTCCCGTAAGCTGAGGCAATAGAGTATAATATTTTTTTAGATAAATAGTGAAATTTCAGACCAGGGAGATGAATCCAAACCGGAATGATTGGCGGTTTCGTCTGTTGGTCAAAATCCACAGACCATTTCAGAATCTTCATTGCTCTGTTTTCAATTCATATTATCCTTCTAGCAAATAAGTGCATGTAATCTTCTTCGTTGCTAATTTGAATAAGAATGCGTCTCCCATCTAATAATTCAATTTTCCATTCTCCAACAAAGTGCATAAGTTCAAATTCTTTGCAAATGAGCTCCATTTTGGGATGACTATATAGAAATTTTCCAACCAAATTCAAACGACAGGAAGAAGCAAAGTTGAATACCTTCAACTTTTGTAAAAAAGATGACAGACTTCTCATTCTTCCTACCAAATTTCTTGATGTCCTCCGCCCACTCAAACGAAATATATATATAAAATAAAATCCCCAATCTTTTATTAATTTGCCTGCATATATTCAAGAGGTAATCTACAAGCATACGATAAGACTAATTTTATTTAAGGCTTAATTGTAAAACTTAAGATTTTTTTATAGATTTTAGAATTACATGCATTTTGAAAACCTAATATAAATTTGTTTTAAATAACCTTAATCTTTTTTCTTAAATCAAATTATATTAACTTTTAAAGATACGAGCCTATGAAAGGTATTTATCAAGAAATGGAAAAACAAAAAGAAAAATACAACATAGAATATAATGACGAAATTTATATTTGGGTCATCTAACTTGAGGTTTAGTAAAACAAAAGTGAGTGGCGTTAGATTTTTTCTGTCCACTATCCTTTCTGGTATAAGATTACGAAATTTTTATCAATCGGAGAGATCAACACTCTCAATACTCAAGTCATAGTAATAATCCATCATGATAAATTCTCATAATTTTTTTCACAAATTGGATAAAGTGGAGGCATTATAAGAATTTATGGAATATTTCCAGTTGTGATATCATTGGTTGATGAAGAAAGCAACACCAAAGAACTTACAATAGCAGGAACAGTAGTCACCATCTTCTGAAGAATAATAACATTTAGGGTTAGAGAACACCTTCTAATAGAAAAAAAGAAAGAGCCCCTCTTTCACTTTTTCAACCATGTGCTTGACGTTAATGCTCATTCAATCTTGTCCTTCTTGTGGTTGAAAGATGTCTTTGAGCTTGGCTGCAATAGCCCTCTCATGTGGCTGGGGACTCTTGCTCGCAAGCCCTCTGTCATTCCATTGCTCAAATTTGTCACCCTCACTCTCGGCTTTGCTGTCTCTCCTTCTCTTCCTCTCTCCCTCTCTCTCTCTCTCTCTCTCATAAGGAATCGATTAAGAGTCAGTTCCAATGAATCAACTACTGCCAGTTCAATTTTTTTAACTAAACTATTAATATTAATTTTTTGATTAATCTATTTTCAATTAATGATGATGTTGGTGATCGGGGTTCACAAATAGCCTTATAATATAAATGAGAGCTTTCCAAGTGTTGATACAACAGCGGATGGTTGGTTTCAAATACCTTTTTTCAGATGGGGTGGGAATAAAAAAATGTAATCGTCACTTCTCTATATTTACCAAGCTTCAAATAAGACATTTCAAATTAATATTTTTCTACATTTCATGATCTGAATGATTTCTCATCCTTGGCCATTATGTTATCTACAATTTGTCTTACCTTTTTTTTTGGCTGTTTTCTTGTAATTGGCTCTTGTTGCGCTCATCCAATTTTCTGATTATAAAATTATGCTTTATTAAAAAAAATGTCATTTCATAACCGAAAATCCACTTAAATTTTCTCAACTTTGGCCACTGCTAATATAGTGATTAAATTAATGTAATTGGATCAAATAACTGTTTTGTTACATTTAATGACTGTTTATTTGTTTGTATCCTCTTAACTCTCGCCATTTCTATGAGCTGGCGCAGCAATCCCTGCCAAGGCGCAGTGGCATCTGCGAGATTTGGGCTGTGGCATTTCTTAGCGAGTTCCTTGCCTCAGTTTATATCTGGTGAGCCATGATCATGATCTGTGAGGGTTGTGACACTTAGGTGTGCAGCCCAATTTAATGAAATTAGTTTTTTCTGATGTTCCCTTTGTATTACACAGTATTACCTTAAAGCTGTTTCTTTTATTTGGTGTCAAATCAAAGAATTTGTCTTAGATTTTTTTCAAATCATGTAATGTATGCATGTTCTGTATAGATTAATTCTTATTATAGCGAATCATCAATCAAGCTGTTTTGGGTGCATGCTAATAAAAGCTGCTATGCATAACTGCTTATTCTGACATTATTATTTAAAATAGATCATTTGCAGCCATCTCATAGAAGGTCTCTGTATACATTATCGTCATCCATGCTTATCTTGTCTGCAAAAGCAGGAGATCTTCCTTATTTAGTTGCTTCTATTGAAGCACATATCGCCTGTGAAATGGTACGCAACTTTATCTGAAATTCCTGCTTTATGCATAAAGTACCTGTAATATACGCCATGCTGCATTAACTGCCATGACCTCCATATGTCCCCAGCTACAGCCCTTCTTGCTTTTGTTTGTCTTTGTGAGTCTTGCCCTATTTATTTTGTAAGACTTGTTCCAGGTTGATCCTTACCTTCATCTGGTTGATGATGGCAAACTTCTGGCAATTTGTGTAAAATATCCTTCTAGTAAAGTAATCTATGGGTCTGAAGAAGATAAGATTGCTGCTTTGAAGTTCTTAGAGACTATTAAGAGTAATGACGATCAACTAAGAGAAATCATTGCATCTCATTTAATGAAGAAGTATAAAAGATTACCTGAGGTAAGTTTGAGATGTAACTATTTTGTATGATTTTGATATATTAAGTTGTCCTGGTTATATGCGTGTTTTTGGATTTTGAAGCTAAAGGAGAAAATTGATGTTCTTCTTTTGTGGCAGCAAGAGTTAATGAGCATTAAAGGGCAGCTCAGGCGTGAATTTTCATCCGATGATGTCTTTCCTATTGGAACTCCAGTTTTCATGGATACACCCAATGCTTCTTCTCCATTTGATGGAAAGGAAAATGAAACTTTTGATGAGGTACTTCTCAAAATCAAACATCTAAACCTTTTGATGATATTATTCTCTTTTGATAGCTTTTTACGGATCTTTTATTAATTTAACTGCAGGTTGTGGTTCCTGCTATCTTAGAAGGTGGAGAACCATTTTTTGAAACATATAAAGATCACTCAGACCAGAAGATATCAGAATCTAAAAATTCAGTAGATGTTCTTAATGTCAACCAACTGATAGAATCAGTAAGTTAAGTCTTCAAAAATGAATACTTGCATGATTTTATTCTTTATGTATGGCGACACATCTCAATTGTGCAACACCCCCCCCCAGCTTTTAATGGTTCATTTGCGGTGTGATTGATGCAGACAATTTGGTCAGACTAAATTCTTACTATCACTTGTTGTGACTTGTAAAATCATAACTTGAACTAGTCTAACTAAGGCTCTGTTTGGGGCAACTGCAGTTTATCAATAGTTTGTTAATAAGTAGTTGATCCAGATAAACTGTTGATCAGCAGCTGATCCAGAAGCTGGTTGGATGTTTGGTTTGTGCGTTTGAAAAACAACTGATTTGCAGTTGTTTCTGGATAAATGACCATTTTGTCCATGTGCAGTATTCTTGTTTGAACAAAACTGTATTAGCAATTCATTTGATACTTAGAAGCAAAAAATTACTTCATAATAGTAGAAAAAGATAAGATACACACCTCACATAACAGTGAGTATCAAGTGTACTAAAAAAAGAAAAAAAAACTATTAAAATTTCAATTAAAAATGTAATAATAATAATCTGCAAGAGCCCTTTCAACACAGGTAATCCCTCACATCCTTATCCCAAAGAATGACATTTGATGAAGCTACTAGAGCATAGTCTTTATTAACTGATTATGATGGGCAGAAAATATCATAATAGCTATGTTATGGGCTAACATTAGATAATGCAGCATCAAGATGGCAAGTTAGCTTGCATCACCAACACCCAACCAAACACAATAGTAGAGAGAGACACACACATAAGATTTGTTGGAGCGCAGCTAGTCCAAAATGCTGCAGTGAAATGCTGCTCTTTGGTGGCACATTAAAGAGAGAGACAAACACATCATGCTTTTATTACTGCATTTGCCAATAACATTCAAAACCAATTGTTCTCACATTTTCTTCATCAAACATTCCATTTATCAAAGAAACAATATGAAGAAAGCACTCTCAAGCATTAAACAACCACCAACTACCAGCACACACATTTAAGTCCAACATCCAACATCCAACCAAAAGCAGCAGTCGAGAGAGAAAGCACAAAAAAGGAGAAAGCCAAAAAATCACAGAAAAAAGTCATTTCTTCAAAATTCGCCACAAGAAAGGGCATGATATTACTCACAGAGCATTGTAAACTTCTCAAAATAAAGGAGAAAGCCAAATAAACACACAAAAAAGTCATTCCATTGAAAATCGCCACAAGAAAGACAACGATATTACTTACAGAGCACCACAACCACAGACCGTAGAGAGGAGGAGAAAGGCAACAATCAAGAGAGGCGCGTGAGAGGGAGCCGTTGTTTAGCGATCAAAGCCACATGATGAGGGCAGAGGAGAAGATTGAAGAGGCACCTAGGGCACGTGATGAGGGCAAGCGCGACGGGAATGTGTAATTGTATGAAATATATATTTCATCTATTCATGTGTGGGCAGAGAGTTAATAAAATTCCTCTAAATGCGAGTCGCGGCCGACATTTACTACAAAACATTACCAAAGTAAACGCACCAAAAACGGAGAAAACAAGTGGTATGGAGGTGTTTGGAAAACACAGATTTTACAGATAAGTTGTGTCAAACAGACCCTAAATCGCCACAAACATACATGATTCATTTTATGATTCGTTCATATTCATATACTTGGAAGTGTGGAAATTATATCATCAAAACTTATATACGAAGATGTTAAATTCAACATAACAAAATACATACCCAAAATTCTATCCACTATCTAAAATTATACTGTGCAAAAGTTGTACACATCACACTAAGCTACTCGTCACAGGGCTCATTACCCCTTCCTGAAAGTCAACAATATAGAGTGAGCTACATGCTCAACGAAATAATCAAGACTAAAGAAAAAATTTATAGATTGAAAGGAAACAATATGCATAATCATATGTAGCTCATGTACATATTTACAACATATGTCACAACATTCTATAATCGTATAAAACATGTAAACGAAAAGACATGCAATGCAGATAATCAATGACAATTGTATGAAATATATATTTCATCTATTCATGTG